GATTGTGCCTGAGTCACTCCCTCCGCCTGGTTACGAGACCTTTTTGTTTGTTTTTCACCCATTTGCTTGTCGGCCCAAAGAAGTATGCCTGACCCCTTTGTCTCCCCTCAGAACAAACTCACAAATATATTTTGGTAATTAATTCAAACAATTCACACAAAAGTTCAAATGATTCACACAATGCCATATATTTACTGGACGTGGTGATAAAATGGTATCATAGCTGCGAGCAGGGGATGTGTGTCCAAATGTGTGTTCTGGGGATATGGGGTGGGATGTTATGGCGCCTGCATGCTAGAGAAAGCACTAGGGGAGAGTTTGACGGATAGCACTGAGCAAGATATGTTTTGAGGGTGTGGAAAGAGTTGGGTCATTCTGAAAATCAAGAGGGAGTAAAACAAATTGGATTTCTGAAAGGAGGTTTATAATACCTGGAGAAATCTGTCAGCATTCCCACTGAAATCAATGGCAGTCTCTTGAAATGCACAGGACACCACAGAATTTTGGATGAAACAATAGAAAGACTTTCTGTAGTTCAAACAGTAGAGCGTGGCAGTGGCACTAACAATGAGTTTGTTTCCCAGCCAGGAAATGCTTGCAATAAAAGTCACTTTGCATAAAATGTGTAAATTACCAATACACTCTAATGTAAAGCTTTACTTTTTTACTTTGCTTAAAATCCCCCTGTAGTCAACCATATTATCCCTTAAAAAAGATTTTTTTCTTGAAAATAAAAAAACTTAATGTCTTAAAAAATTTGCCTTGTCTCATTTATTATAAGTGGTTCTGTGAATATGCAAATTAGCCCCACCTCCACTCACTCACACCAGCTCAGAGATGAAATTGGTTACACGTTTGTGATGTCAGAAACACCAGCAATTTTAAAACACAGTTTTGAGACTGTCTTTGGTCCACTGCAGTTTTAAGGAGAATGATGGTCCCTTTACACATTCTGTTGACTAGTAATTCTGCACCTACATGTTTAACTCTCATTAGAGAGTTTGTAGAGTATTAGTAGAATAGTGAGAGACTCTGAGGGTTAGAGTAGGTTGACATGTACTTGCAAAGTTAATTATAGTCAGTAGAATGTCTGTTGGAGGAGCATCACAATAAAGAGTTAGCAGATATTAAGCAGACAGTCTAATAAAACTCTGAGATTTAATTGACATGTATTTGCAAAGTTGCTAAAAGAAAGTGAACTAGTTTACTGAATTAACAGTTTTCACAAGTAAAGAGTTCACAAGGCCTCATAAGATAAATAAATTATGAATTATTGAAGAATGAATGATGAAAAAGAATGAATCAATGAATCAATCCACCAACCAATCAATCAGTAAGTCAGCCAGTCAGTCAGTCAGTTTGATCGATCAATTGATCAATTGATCAATCGATCAATCAATCAATCAATCAATCAATCAATCAATCATTCAACCAGTCAGTCAGTCAGTCAGTCAATCAAGCAGAGACTTGAAAATCACTTGAAAAACTGAACTTGAATTGGAAAGGGTTCAGAAAAAATAATAAATCCTCAGGACTATATCCTCAAAACATTTTGCTTGTGTCTTTTTGAAGTAGCTCTCTCTGTCATTAAATGGGAAGTACTTGAGGCCTTTCCAGAGAAAGGGGCACAAAGGCTCTGGCTCACATTTGCCAGAGCTAAGCACAAAGATTTGTCTAATGTCACAACCAAAACTTTATATGATTTATTTAGTTTACAATTCTTTGATGAGTTTTTTTTCTGCAGTAGTTCTAAATTTAAAATGCTTTCAGAAGTGATGTAACTGTACAAATGTAACAGAAAGTGTGGATGAATTGAGCTATACTGGCTTTTGATAAGATATTTACAAAATGCACGAGCTAATGTGTTATCCTCCTCTACGGACAACCCATGCACCCACCAAGGTCATTCAATCTTAAGGCCGGCTAAGGAAAATAGAACACATAAATAGAGCTTATGGAGACTAAAAACAGGGCAATACAGAAAGCAATTCAAGAGATGGACAAACAAGATGAGTTATGGGAGAGGGAGATAGCCTAAAGAAGCAGATATCCACCAGTAAAAAGCATGAATGGAAAAAGAGCAGAAAGAGAGGACTCAATACATCGTTTCATCTATTATATAAAGCAAACTGTGATGTTCTGATTCTGGCAGAGGAGAAATCAGCGACTGTAAAAATATTGACGATCATAATATTCAACAACCAGCAACCTCCAGGATCCACTGTTCTGAACCAACCCCTTCGGCTAAACCAGAACCTATTCAACGCCGGGCTGGAGGTTGTCAGCATGATGGCTGCCAGCCAAACATACTAACTGTGCAGCAAGAGATTGCAGAGCATCCACTGTGCCAAACTGTGTTGAAATTAACCCAGTAATCAGAAACATTATGTTCTTGTGGGGAGAGCCCAGGCGATTGGCAGATGGCTAAGAGCATTAGAGAGATACCTGCCAAACGTTAGCCTGCTCTCTCCTCCTGGTGTGAAAGACATTGTGATAAGGAGAGAAGGGCACCCCTGTGTATCTGCAGCATATGGTGGGGTAAATATTGACTGATATTATAATTATATATGGCATAATCTAATAATTAATCATGCACATGCTCACATATTTAATACTCAATCAGACACATACTGGAGGAGAGCCATTTGTACATTACACAACCAGGTAGGCCACAAGACCTGTATTGAGTCTATATTGAGAAGATGCTTTAATCTGGAATACTGATCACTTTCGATCTGAAGATGCTGCGATGGACATGAGACAAGCAAATGTAAAATCATCAAGGATTGGTGTTCCTAAATAGCTTTTCTGTACTTTTAAAGGCAAAATCTTGACGAACGATATTATTTAAGCCGCAGGTTGGTGACTCAAGAGTCCTAGATTTATACAAGAGGAACCATGGTTCATATCCAGGTTTAAAAGTTTAAATTGTGTTACTTTGTTACTTTTTATGGAAAGTAATGAATTGCAGGACTTTTGCCTAACTTTTTCTCACCTGGGATGGGCTTGTTTGCTTAGTTTTTTTTAAAATTATTATTTATTTATTTAAGTTTTGGCAAATGTACAAGCCCTTTCACACCAAAAGTGAAACAATTAAGCCTCAGACTAAAGGTTTAGCAAATTAACGCCTGTACAGTAAAGTGCGCAGCTACAACAAACCTTTCAGCTGTGCTGCCATTCTAGGACACAGGAGAAGAAAGGTCAACAGCAAAGACACACTGGATAATAAAGTGAGATTAAATTCATCTAAATTTTAATTATTGCAGGTTTACTGCAATACCGAGTTTGCATTTCACTGTTTTTCTTCAATTTGAGGAATACTGAAACTGGAAAACTGTGCAAGAGAGATGAATAAATGCCTCATTAGTCTAGAACTATAACCGTCATGTTCACACAGCTCACACAACGCCTCTGCACGTCACTCACGATTTCTCTCAATAACATTTTTATGTGTGACTATTAGCATAGCAAGTTGTTCATAGAACATATTTTTGTTAGCAGGGCATAGCCTACGGCCATAGCACAGTGATAGTGGATCTGACTGGATTATGAACACTAGGACATTATTGTTGAGTAGCCTACTACAAAACCATTAAACTTTAAGATTGGCCAGCATGGCACCTAACAAGTCGAGTTTGATAAGTCATGACAGAGGGTCTGCACCATTTACGTATTGTTTCTCTCAGTCTCTCTCTCTGAGCTGCATTTGTCTCTTTATCCCTGTTCTATGAAGAAGAACATCAACGTTATACAACATAAACAGCCTGTGAATACACATAGAAAAATGCATTCATACATACACTGATGTAATCAATTTAAGTCTTTAAGAGATCAATAGCTTGTCAAGTGAGACGCTTTAGCTTCTTAGAGTGAGACAGAGAGAGCATCTAATTGCAGCTCGAGGGAAGTGAACGCCAGTCTCTTTAAATAAACATAATTGTGTTCAGTCATTAAGACACATGGCCTTACTGGTAATAGTAAAATAACAACATTGACCTTTTGAAATCTCTCTTTTCTCCAAATATAATAGCCTAAGTTCACACTAGCGTTAGAAAATTATAATCAATTGTACTACATCTCCCCCTGCTGGTCATATCAGTTACACACATACTTTAGCTGAAATCAACAGGTGACCTGTCCCGAGCAGTTACACACATACTGTATAACTGTAAGAACAGAACAGGATTCATATTGGGTGAAGGGTGATGATAGGTACTTTTCCATATGTGTGAAATGGAAATGTATACATTTATCCATCACACATTGACTAATGTAGAAAAGATAAATATGAGAATTTGAAGTGTGAAATGCATTTTCTTTTCTCGTTTTCATTCTACCAGACTTTCCCATTCAGCTACTTTTTAGTTGTTTGTTTTATTAGAAAACACACACAATCCAAGGAAAATAAACACATTATAAAAGAGTTGCACAGTTGTTTAGTCTGTAATAGTTTTGCTAGATGTCGATTGCATTTTTAGTTTTATTATTGTGACAAAACAAGCACAATTATAGGCCTAAGGGACACATTATAAGAGTTATAGGGTTAAAATACATGAAATTCTGAAATGAACTATAGTGAATAGCACACACACACTCACAGAGAGAGACAATTTAATTGCTTTTCAGCAACTAAATTATTCTTATGTGGTGTACATAGCAAATATAAATTTAATTGAACAAAAATCGAAAAGTCAATCCAAAACACTGCAATAAACACAATGATGACAAAAAAGGCATTTGGGCGAATCAATGGAGATTTGAAAATCCCTTTGTAAATTGTGTAAAAAAAAAAAAAAAAGTTAAAATCTTGTTTTTCATTCCCTATGATCCTGACTGTGGTTATCATAATTCGTGCATGAAAGGGTTAATACTGGGTAGGCTAAACACATTTAAAAATGAAACGAAACCATAGGAACGAAACGAGTGCGAAAACGTCGGAGGAAATGACGTTGAAACGGTCCTCTCCCCAAGTGTGTACGGTACGATACGTAATTTCCCTCCGACAGACAACTAGCGTTCCTTGGCCTACCACAACTAGGCTATCTGTACCACTTTCCAAGTCTCCATAGGTTAAAGTAACGGCGCTCGATATTAGTGCAGATTAAAAAATGCCATGCATAATGACTCTTAATATAGCTCGATAGACCCAATCACTCTGAAAGTAAACATGTCCTTACAGTACGCATGCGCACTGAGTCAATCGCACTCGTAATGTTGGGACATTGTGCAGATTCAAGTCTGAAAATGGGGGACACACAGCAATAAAAGTAAAGTAGAACGCTTATTTGAGACGCGTTTCTTCTGATCGTTGAGGAGTTACCCTGGGCGAACTCTTAACTATGTAAGAAATGCGGTATATACTGGATTCAAACTGAACTGTGCAGCGAAAACGACATAACCTCGTTTGCTAACAGCGGCTAGCTAGCAGTGAGGATCAAAATGGAGGCGCGCTTTATTATTATTAGCTCAAGTTAAAATGGTTCATGTCTCTTGAACGATATGCATCATAGCGTTTAGTAAGAAGATTCACATGCATCTTTAGTATTGATGTAATAGACGTGTGTCTGCCTTTATCCAAGTCCAACCGGTATTGAGCTGCAGTGATGTGTTGTTTGTGACCAAACCTCTAAACAACTTATACCATACGAGATATTATGTGGACGGTTTTCGGTGTTTTAATTAGTCTTTGCTTACCCATTGGCTTTATTGCAACTTTTTAAAGAAGCATATATGGAATATATAGACAGGAATTAAATGCTTCTTCACATTTCCACTGCACACAATGAGGTCATTGAATAATAATAATATGCTATTTAGCTACTTATTCGTCTCTTTGCCATAACATTTTCTTTTATGTTTTGTCAGGTACAGGTCTGCAGACACAGAATTGTTGATATCAACTCTATAGTAGTCATGGTTCAAAAGGTAGAGCTTTCTCTTCGCCATGAATATGCGATCTGAATGCTTTTCTAAAGTGGGATTGTACTCAAACAACTGTGACTTCAGCCCAACTCAAACAAGACACCCAGCTAGTGTCCGTAAAGAGCTCGGTGATCCTCTTGGTGACACTCCAGACAGCACCAGACAACATCTGTTCTTGGACAAGACTTTGGGTGGGAAACCTGAACGGACTTCATTGCCGTTAAAGCTTGGCAGAGAGTTGGCTGTGGCTTCAGAGGCTGGCTCTGTGGGCACAGAAAAACTGTCATCTCAAGCTAAACAAATGGGGGGTGAAGGCACCCCTGTAAAAAGTAAAACTCCCCTTGGACAGACCAACACCATTGATAACAAGCCAGAGTTTGTATCCATGAATTCACATAGTAATTCTAGAGACCCTGTGGGTGAGAAAAACGCCAAAGGGTTAGAGACCATGGGGGCGTCACATGAACACTCGGAGGGTAAAAAGACAAATTTGAGGAAGATCACGGGTCATCCTCACGCACAAGCCACCTGCCTTAAACAACTGCTTCTACTTCAGCTGGACTTAATAGAGCAACAACAGCAACAGCTACAGTCTAAGGACAAAGAAATAGATGAACTCAAATCAGACAGAGACACGGTATGTACACTGTCATTAGGGTCTGCAATATTTTATTATTCAGCAAGGATGCATTAAATTGATCAAAATACATTTAGAATTTAACAACTGATTTCTATTTCAAATAAATTCTGTTTTTTTTTTTAGAGCAAGATTAATAATAATGTTACTTGAGCACCTAATCATGTGGTAATGTGATACTGGAGCTTTGCCATCATAGGAATAAATTACTATATTAAAATAGAAAACGGTTGTATTTGTAATGATATTTCACAGTTTTTACTATATTTTTTATCAAATAAATGCAACACTGGTGACCATAAGAGACTTAAAAAATAAATAAAAAAATCTTTCAAACTTTTAAATAAAAGTGTGAGATTCATGGTTTGTGGGATATTGATATTTATTTGTTTCCAAATGTATTTGTCCTGCCTTGAAATAGTTGCTTGCCCGTATTGAGCGGATGGAGCGCCGTTTGCAGTTGTTAAGTAAGGAACCACGTGACAAGAAGCTCTTCCAGCCATTAGAGCGATGGGTCCCTGACACGGATGACTTTTGGGAATCAGATATGGGGGACAACCCTCAAACTCAGACATCTAAGTCAGGTGGCAAAGTGCAAAAGAGGTAAGAATGGGAAATTCCCCTGTTAGTAGAGCTGCACGATTTTGGATAAATTGAGAATCATGATTTTTGTTTTGTTTTAAATAGAGTTCACATTTCTGAACAGACATATTTACTATAGGTTCTGACAAAATGTTTATTGTTGCAGTATTAAAAATGAATCAATGACTCACTCAAAAATACTTCACTTGTTTCATTACTGGTTGAATCAGTGTATTTGAACAAATTTTTTGTATGTATGATTCAATGACATGCATCAAGTCACTACCACTACACATACATTAAGTACTGCCATAACAATGTAATTGATACAATTTTCATTTGAGGAGTCAAGCTACTTTCAAAAGTATTTTCTCTGTTTTGATCATTTCCGTAGACATTATTATTTATATATCCAAGCTATAAACTTTTATCGTAGTACTTCTGTGATAATATGAATATTTGCAAAAAAAAAAAAAATTGTAATACTGTGTGGTTGAAAAGACTGTTTGTGAAGCTGTTTCATTGTCATTTAGGAATGAGATCAAATGGGTGTTTGAATCGAAATTGCGATCTTTTAACAATTAATCGTGCAGCTCTACCTGTTAGTCACTCTTTCCTGTTATTTTTCACTTAATCTTTCTTCTTGTGGCTTCTGCTTGGCTGATATAACCTGTAAATACTCTGTCTAGAAAGATGAACATGTTGGAAACAAAGATGCAGAGGTCAAGGGGTAAGGCCTCTAGAATGACCCCCCAAAAATCAGATACAGGAGGGACGTCTCCATGTCAGCATGACCTGCGAAGCAAAGAGACCCCGGAGAAGACAAACGTGAAATCATCCGGACAGATGGACGTGAATCCAGAGGGAGACAACAGCAGAGAAACCGAAGAGCTTCCGTACATGACAACGACCGAGATGTACCTATGCTGTTGGCAGCAACCTCCAGCCTCTCCGTTACAGGAAGAGTGTCCAAAGATAGAGGAGGATGTTGCAAGTAAGTGCCTGGTTCAAATGCAAAATGGCCATTATAAACATTGATTTCCAAATTCTAATACAAAAAATATTTCCTTAGTCCCATCATGGAGGGAAAACATCATGGAACCCATCCAGGAGGAGGATGCTGTTGACATCCCCGAAGTAAGAGTCATCATTTGCATCATATATGTATTAAACATAAGTCACAAGAATCTTAAATATGAGGTCCATTGTCATGTATCCATCATTTGTTTCTGTAGAGTCTTGATGACGGTGTTTTTCTGAAACGGCACGCAAAGTTAGAACTGGATGAGAAGAGACGAAAACGGTGAGATTTATTTCTAAAAGGGTGTTTTCCTAATCTGTTTTTGTGGCATCAACACATTTTTAACTCCTTTATTTAATTTTTTTTCATGTGCATGATAAAATTGTACACTATCATTCAAGTGTTAAGGGTCTCTAAGATTTTATATCTTTTTTTATACTTTAAATCTCTTATGCTGACCGTGATTTGGTTTATTTGTCCAAAAATACAGTAAAAACAGTAGTATTGAGAGAAATTGTTGTGTTTTCTATTTAAAGATTTATTTAAAGATTTATTTTCTATTTTTTCTATTTTAAGTGTTTTCTATTTAAAAATATGTAATTCGTTTTTGTGAGGGCAGAGCTGAATTTTCTCAGCCAATCCTCAGTGTCACACGATCCTTCAGAAATCATTCAAAAATGCTGATTTGGTTCTCAAGAAACATTTATTTTTAATTATCAGTGTTGAAAACAGATGTGCTGTTTTTAGTATTCTTCATTTAATAGAAAGTTCAAAAGAACAGCATTTATTTGAAATCGAAGTATTTTGTTACAATGTAATTGTCTTTACTGTACTTTTGATCAATTTAATGCATCCTTGCTGAAAGAAATGACTGAACCTAACTTTTGAATGGTAGTGTATGTCTACAACACGGTGTATAAACTAAACAAGCACATATTGTTCAATTAAGGATTATGAGTTATGTTGTGTTATTTAAGCCTCTTGCTTAAATTTCTGACAAGAGCATAGTTCATTCTAGCTTAAACCTATCCACACATGCTGGACTAATACCTGTATATATAAAGAAATCAATCTTTATGGTTACACGAGTTCCCTTAACTGATTAATTTTGTGGTAGTTTTCTTCACAACAAACTGAATAACTGTCAAAAAGGTTTATGTATGGTTACAGACTCCTTAAAACAACACTTTAAATGCTCTTAATACTCATACTGTTTTTTCCGTTAGATGGGATATTCAGAGAATACGTGAACAGCGTATGCTTCAAAGACTGCAGCAACGCATGGAGAAGAAAAAAACAAATGTTCAGGAGAGCGAGCCAGAAGTGTCCTCGTTTCATCCTGATTTGGAGAATGGTAAGAGCCTAAGAAAGATCGATTTGATAAAATATTAATTTTTTTATTGCATTAATGAACAAACCAGCTGTTATCATATTATATACTATATTTTCACCGACTTTCCCTTGTACAGTGGAGGCCATCATGGTCACACCTTTTCTGCCAGTAGTTGCGTTTGGTCGACCTTTGCCCAATTTACCTGCACAGTAAGAACCTTTTTTTTCTGTTGGAAATATCTCCTGTGCAACATGTAAATGCTCTTAACTACTGATCAACTGTCTTAATAATCATAAGGCATAGTGAACATGTCGATCCACTTTTGTTGTCTGCTAGGAATTTTGAGTTGCCCTGGCTTGATGAGAGAAGTCGATGTCGCATTGAAAATCAGAAGAAACAAACTCCCCACAGGACCTGTCGGAAATAAGCCGTACGTGTGCTACTTCATGTCCAGTGGCAAAACAGGGGTTAAAGGAGGCAAAGCACTGTTTGGGCGAGAAGGAAATGGCAGCATTACAGCTGAGTTTTCATTTTATTGTGCCGTGATGATAGAGCAACAACTGCCCGGTTAACTGCTATTTTAAGTTCTCTCACAATCAGTGTGTGGCCTTGATTCAATTCTTTACTTGTAGTCCTGTTCTGTGTACTTTCACTGAGGCTAGTGATATTGATCATTGCAGGCTCCACTGCAAATACTGTTTTAATGTGCACTAAACTGTGGTTATGGAGTATTGCTGCACATTTGCATGTAGTTGTGTTCCGAATGACTTTAAAGAGCTTTTTTTGTTTTTGAAAACGTAATTGTGCATGAATGTCTTGATAATTCCTCTGCCTCAATGTATATATTTTGTAGGCATAGCTTAGTCGTTTAGAGAGAAAAAATATTGGCAGGATTAGTGTGAGGATGCTAAATTGTTTAGACGAACGACCCTTTGTAAAAGAGTAGCAAGAATTTGTTTGTAAGGCATTTAGGGTTCTCTGAAGCTGTTCAGCATCCCATGCAGGTTTAAGGACAATGCCCTTAACGTTATTTTTTAGATCGATTAGTTGGTCTGTTGATGGTTGTTTTTTGATCAACATTCTTATTGAAAATACATTTATTTTACACCACCATTTTCATCCATGTCCAAAAGTGTTGCTTGTCTTTTGAATTTTTTATTAATTCTGTGCCTCATGGGATTCATTTCAGGGCCTTTGAAATGCATTTCCTGAAGATCTGTTCTAACTGAAAATTGGTAATTTTCCTGAAAACGTTTTTTTTTTTGTGTGTGTGTACATGTGTTGATTTTGTGAACACCATACACATCAAGTTTTGTTTTCTTTCTTTCGTGAATGTGTACAACTGGACCGATGTAAATAGCCTTGCTGACACATATTGGCTGTAAATAAGGAAAATGTTGCTGTTATTTTTTTATTTAATGTCAGAAATGTTGTATGTCCAGCATAGATATATTGATAGCATTATTTACAAAACAAGAATTTTTGTTTTTCAAAAAAATAAAAAGTACACAAAACTCACTCTTGTGATTTCATAATTGATGCAGTTTTTAGTGTCTTATGTCCATATTTGGTTTTACTGTAGTATTTCTTCCCAAATAACTTGAATTGGAAGCTTACCGTTGCAGACTTTATGGTATTGTAGACTTTAAGTATTTTAACAGTTTTGTTTATGTATTATAAAAACACTTAAATACAATTTAATCTTGTGTTATATGCATAATTTCATTTGTTCATTTTTTTTTAAATCCACAGAACCTAGAGATGTCTTTGTGAGAATTACCCATTTTATCTGATGTGAGGCCATTGTTATGCAAGTGTAACACCAAATGTCACAAAACGTAAGTGTGAAAAATGTTTATTGACCAAAAAAAAATTGCAAAATAAGATATTCAAAATATACCAACTCTTTTGATTCACCATGAGATAAATACATTGATAATATTTTTAATATTTCTTTAGATTATTCTGTGACGAAACAAGCTTTGGAAAACTGCCTCCAAGATTTTTTTAAATTGAATGAAAAGTTACTGAGATGTTGCCTTGCACAAACTTTAGTTCATGAAGGTTTACAGTTCACTGAACAGGCCTGGGACTAGAAATCAATCACTTTGAGAAACAAATATACTGTACCACCACATTTATTATATGAAAGTATTTACCACTAAAAGATCACAATAAAAATATTATTAGAAGATAATGATAGTATAATAGCATGGGTATTTCAAAGAGATTTCTCTGATATACCTTTGGAGTGACTCCATCTTGTACATATATATATATTGCATATATATATATATAAAATATTAGTATCACCATCTGTTTATTAGAATTAAGATATGATGTGTGATAAACCGAATTTTATAGCAATGAAATAGTGTTAAGACTTCCTCAAAAGATCAAGTTGGAATTGGAGGGTAAGCTTCTTTGTTGATTTATCTCCTTTAAATGGTTTTGTCTAAACAGGAGCAGTCTGATGCATTGCATCTTCATTTGGGTTACATGTTTGGTAACATTTTCATAGCACATGTCATAAAAAGAGGACAGAAAAACAAAAGGGACGCATTAAAGCGTCAAATGTCAGAATAAAAGAGCATTCATATCCCCTCTTTGCATCAGTCTACATTTTAGTGAATCACTGAAAGTCTTTCTCAGTCTCTCCTGAGGTTGTTCAGCCTCTCCTCTAAGTCAGCATCCGCATCTGCCAGTGTAGGCTGCGGTTCAGCTTTCTTCCCAGCTGCAACCGAAAGGCTTCCTCCGGTAGAAGGCAGGCCTGTTTGAAAGAAATAAAGTTAATATGAGAACGAATTTCGGTTAATATGAGAACGACAGAAACTCTGGTGTCATTTTGGCTTACTTGATAGTTCGTCAGACAGATTCAGACCCAGCTCATCCAGAACTTGAGAAACCACAGCATCACTGCATTTGAAGCAAAAAGAGTGCATGTCAGTCGAGTGCAAAGTCTGGTATAGAGACTGTTCCAGATCTCTGTTCTGGAGCTACACTACTGATTTTGTTTATGTTTTGAAAAAAAAGTCTCCTTTGCTCACCAATGTAAAATAGATGTTTTCAATGCAAATATATTATATATATTTCAGAATTCATCCTAATATGCTGATATGGTGGAATCCTCACCTCTCCTCTTCATCGTCTTCATCTCCCATTGCATCATCGATTGCATCGTTCATCATCTCCTCCTTCATGTCCATGATTTCACTTTGGCGCTCAAACTCCATCATGATCTTCTGAATCTGTGGCAACTTCAACTGCATTGAGAGAATAAGAATTCACATAATCAAATAGATGCACAAGCTGTCTGTTGACAAGACAAATACAAACTGAGAATGCTACTGCAGATATACCTGTCTGTTCATGGTGGCCATGGCTTTTGTGACTCCTTTCATGGCCTGCGCCATGCTGTTATTTGATTTGAGGGTTTGGATTTTAAGGCTGACAGCTTGAATATTGGCTCTCATCATTATGAATTTCTTAACGTATCGTCTTGTGCGGACCAAGTCCTTAGCCATGATCTTCACAGCATCCTGTCGGTAAAAGAATATTACTTGCACTCAAGCGAGACTTCATGGATATGTCAGTAACAGAAACATATCAAATGAAAACTCTTCAAACCATCTGTCCTTGTTTGGCCATTTTCTTAATGTCAGCAATTATTTTCTTCTCCTGTTGCTCCAGCCTCTGGCGTTCTCTGTCTAGATCTCGCATGGCTCTGTTTAGCGCTCTCTGATTCTGTCTGAGCATCTCCTCCGGAGTCTTTCTTTTTCCAAACAGGAATTCCATCTGACACAAAAAAGGAGAGAAAAAAAGACCAGATTGTTAGGTGTTTGAAGGCGTTTAAACCATCATTAATTACTCACCTTCATGTTGTTCCAAGCGACACATATAAACATTGATCAGCGAAAATGAACAGTAGCACAACCGAACCTGCTTGACGTGTGAGAATGGACCTCTTGCATAAGATCAAACGTGAGGCATAATACGAGAATGAACCTCATTGTTTCTCGCACATCTGTTTACCACAACTAATGTGTGTGTTGATGAATGTTTATATGTGAATAGAAGCCTAAATTCAGTCTGTTCATCAAAGAAAGCGATTGAGTTTCTTCTGAAAATTTTAAGACCACTCAATCCATATCATGTATTAGTTATATGATCTCTTTATGGACTTTTTGACGTGTCAGTGCAGAACCAGAAAGGTCTCCATTTGTGTTTCGAAGATGAACGAAAGTCTTAGTTTAATCCCTTTAAGGGTTTCCACAATCTGATAAATTATCTAGACAACAATACAGAAAGATGATTGTCATAGATAGGAATTCATATTTCCATTTCAGACTTAATGACAGTGACTTTTGGGCACGTGATGCTATGACATCATTCTTTTCAGGAATATCATGGTGGTTTCTATAGCTAGTCTCAAATTTAAATATTTTACAATATTGTTCTTTTCTCAGATTAAGAAAAAAATATCACTCCATACTATTTAGCTTATACATGATACTGTTAATGATAATGTAAACTGTAAACACCGCCATAGCATTACACTCTGTGACTGACTCGAAAGGACACTAATAACTCAGACTCAAGCTTAAAAAATAACATATTCAAATGATTATTCTTTTATAAAAATCACTCAAACTTTTCCTAAATAACATATATAATAATGAGGTCAGTTGCTAAAATTAGCTCAATAAAAGAAAGAAAAGCTGGAGGCCTTCATCTCTATCGTTTTTACCTTGCCCTTTCTTAATGTGGAAACCGTCCACCAGAGACAGAAATAGTTGAGCAGGCCAAATGTCACGCCGTCGTCTGTTTCTTTTATTCCTTATTTAAAGTTACAGTTCGTCGATCCACCCGATTGTTTTCCAGCTTCTTGCTTCTTCCGCATATGAATGTTCTTCCTTTGTAAAGATCTACGTCACAGGAAATGCGTCATACAATACTTTCAACAAACAACAGGTAGCCTAGGTGCATGTAAAACAATTATTGAATAAAAAAGTAAATAAAAAAAGATAGTCTACATTCATGACAGACTAAACTTATAAATTACAAATGGTTCTGTAAATTTATTTTGCTATACTACCGTTATATTCGTTTTTTTGTAATTATACGTTATTTATCTTGTGATCATACTTGCTGTGTATATTCAGCAATCAGAAACCTCTTTTTTATGTGGTCCTGAAACAATTAGAAAATGATATACTATGGCGAGCACAAGCATAAATGCTGTTAAAACCATGGTTAAAACTGTTTCTTTATTTAATACATTTAAGATTTTGTGAAATAACAATGCCTTGATTATTTTATTTATTATTTACTATTTTTTGGTAGTTTTAGGCTTTTATTATTATTATTATTATTATTTCCTTTATTTTAACCAGGAGAGTCACATTGAGATATTACTATCTCTTCTTCCAGAGAGACCTGGTCAAGACGGCAGCACAAGAAGTTTCATACACAAGAATCACAGAATAAAATACCACAATGTACACTTCACAAACAACATGGATAAAGACGAATTAAGAAAAACAGTTGCAATTGTCCTTTAAAACATTGAGAAAGAGACGTTTAAAGGAGGTCAGAGTTGGGAGTGCATCTAAATTCAATACATTTTGTAAATCATTCCAACTCCAAGGGGCGTAAAAAGAAAAAGCACTTTTACCAAATTCTGACAGTACACTTGGGACTTTTAACCGGAGATGAGAGCCAGACCTAGTTTGGTAGGTATTTGTGTGATAAATTAAAAGATTTGATATATAGGAAGGTAACTTACCTAAAAGTGCTTTTGCAATAAATAAGTACATGTGTAGTTTTCTCCTTTGATTTAAAGATATCATAATTATCATATTCTATAAGATAAACATATTTAAAAAAGGGACATTTATGACTTTTTTATTTCTTATTATAAAATTTTATTGTTATTGTATTTATCAAATTCAATTTTTTATGTAAAATCAAATTATCACTTTTTTAGAGTGTAATAATAATAATAATAACATTTGTAAGATCACGTTGAAATTCTTCAACCTCTTACACTGCACATACCATCTCTTTATTTTGATATTCTACAATTCAAATTTTGATATTCTGCACTGTTCCAGTATTATATTACTTATAAAACACAAACAAATTCATATACAGTAATACAAAAAAAAACCCACAATGGATAATTGGATTAAAGAAAATCTCCAAACAAATTTTAAAGTCAAATCTCCAGGAAAAAAACATAAAATAGGCACGTTTAAGTTATTTATACATCCATACATCCATACACACACATATATATATATATATATATATATATATATATATATATATATATATATATATATATATATATATATATATATATGATGGCAAATGGTTAAAACACTTTTTTTGGATGATGAGAACAAATGTGTAGGCTACTGCCAGGACCTTCTCTGAACCATAGACTGTGAAAAAAAAGAAAAAGAAAAAACATAAGCTATATTTGTAAATACAAGGCACATCGTTCATGCCCTTCAATGACAGTAGATGGCAGTACTGTCGTCGCATTCAGTGTAGTTGGTCTTCAGTGAATCAACAGAGGAAGAAAACCCGACAGAAGCACACAATGCAGTTTGACTGCAACGGGTTATCCACCCAGGCTTCATGTATTCTTTAGCCACCCAAATAAACTGAAGAAATCTATTTATTCCATTTTGACGATCGCAACGAAAAGCAAGCTTTCATAGGTCCTTTTTCACGATACACTAGAGAAAGAAAACCGCTCCTGCTGCGGACACCGGCGAAATCTCCAGCTTGACCGCACTCAGTAGATCACAGAGCGGGCCGCGGAAGGAGGAGCCCAGCCTGCGCTGACGGGGCTGCGCTCAACATCCCTGACGGAGCAACTCCAGACCGAGGCCTCGAGGCCTGTTGTATATTATTATCGTTTTAAATGGAGGCTCGGACGAAAGCAGAAGCCAGAGGAAAATGGCCCTCTGTACAGCGCGAGTGGTGGGTGTGATTGGAAATATTGTCGTTGTTTTGTTCGTGTCTGTGCCTTTGAGTATCGACAGTAAAACAAGACGGAGTGGGTGTTAGTTTTGAGCTAAAAGAAGGTTTTATAGTTTAGTTGAGATTTAAGCCCATCGCAGTGTCCCCTTTTCTCATCTGGTCGTTAAAGAAAGCTGAAGGGCTAGTATGTATGATGTTTCAGCTGACGGGGTTTGTTTTTAAATCCGCAAATAGACAATTGGGTACATTCATTGGTTGCATTAATGTACCGAACTGAGTGATTAGTGTAATTTCCTTATTAAATGTGAAGTGCAAGGTGGGGTGTCAACGAAGCACAGGCTAACGTTACATGGCTAGCTTGTTTTATTAGAGTCATAATAAATAGCTTTGGGCACCTTCGACAGATGTTTTGGGAGAGATGTAACGAGCTAGACAATTGTAAAACGGGTGATTGATCTTTTAAAATGACATTTGATAAATGATAAGGTGGTTCACGTAACGTTGGCTGATGTTTGCTCGCCTGGTTATTTAAGTTACACCGGATATATTATAATCGTTGAATAATTGGCAACATCACAATAACATAATTCTAATACTGTCATGTATTGTACAATAAACTAAAATAATACGAATTTGGTCGTTTAAAAGCGAGTGTTTAATTAATCCGCGATCCTATCCTGGTTAGCTAGCGAAGTTAGCAAGCTAACATCGAGCGATTTAACTCGTCGCTTCATTAACCGATTTATCTGCTTCAGATTGAGAAAAGAAACAATTTGGCTAAAATATTTTAGTCTAAAAGGATCTTTTTTTGCGCCACGGTTGGCCTTTGTTTGTATCTTTTAATAAAGTTTACTAACTAAAACTCAGCCCTAACTTATAAAGTAGCATATTTTTGGGCAGATGTCATTAACATAATGTAGTTATAGTTTGTAATTTGAGTAAAATTTTTTTTTTGTCTTTTAGTGAATATTCTATATGAAGAAAAATAGTTGTTTCCATCATAACTAATGCATATTTTCTTAGTTAAACAGCCATGTTGAATCTTTAAAAGTCCGACTACGCCACTCATGGGTAGTTTCTCCTTTTTCCTTCCCCAGATGAAAGTGACAATGTCTTGACAGAAAGACAGTAATTGGATTATCTAGAAGCTTTCATAATCGCTGTGTTATTGGATAAAACAGGCCCGGTGATGCCCAGACATGACTGAACTCAGACTGCAGTGTGCTCGCACCATACAGCTTCCACTGGACTCCATTAAATTATAAGACAGAAACCTTAAACCACAATTACATCTGAGATCAAGAGCACTGGTCCTGGAGGCGTTGGTTTTTATTCAGTAATAGTTTTAAAGTCTCCCAGGCAGGAACAGGGTGTGTTTTTAACAAGTGCCTTTGTACGGACATTGACATGGATGGTCCCAGTCGAAGCGGAGGCTTCAGGCAGAGCCGCCGCTCCCGCTCGCAGCGTGACCGAGAGCGGCGGCGGAGGAGAGCGGATCTCGCGGAGCACAGGGCCTCGTCGCCATCCTCGGCCTCGGACCAAGAACTCTGCAGAGGAGACTCCCTGCTTCGTGCCAATGGAGGAGAATGCAGACCCAGCTACCCTGGGGCCAGACACCGGCCTCCGCGTCGGAGGAAGCGAGAATCGGTGTCTTGCGAGGAGGATATCATCGATGGATTCGCCATCGCCAGCTTCATAAGCCTGGAGGCCTTGGAGGTTTGTGTGCTTATCCATATTTCACTACTCTGTATTAAATGTTGCTTTGCTGTATAGAGATTAGAAGTTGTGAAATTTTGCATATCAAGTTTTGGACAAAATATGCATGTAAATATACATTTAAGATAATAATACCCAATAGTGTAAATAATAAAGGCACTGTGAGTTGAGTTACTGCAGTCTAAGTACAGAGCTTGAAAATGTGCTGCTCTAACATGTTTTACTGTGTTACTTTGATAGATGGACTGTTCCCTAAAGCCTCCAGAGCGGTCTGGCTTGTTAATGGGTAGAGGAAGCAAAAGAAAGAGAGGTCTAGATGAAAACGGAGGACCTCTGTCAGAGCCGGAGGAAGGACCTCCTGCTACGTACACCAACAGTTGGGAGCAGCGCAGGAAGATCAAATCAAAACCGAAGGGAAATAGAGATGCTAAGGTTAGTACTGTAGTTTCATCACACCTTAGTTGACAAAAAAGAAAATCCAGTATCGGAAAACGCCCGTTAAAAAATATCACTGCAATAATTATGGTGTAGCAAATATTTCTACAATAGTCCTGTGTAGATGTGCTTCTGACCTGATAAACCAGTTGGGTATGTTTAAAAAGAAGTTTTTAATATTGAGCCGTAATGGTGAGTGACTGGTCTAAACAAAATTTGCATCACATATGCATATGCTTCTCACTGTCCTAGCAGTTAGCCACTGCTACAGGGCAGGGTAACCACTGGCCCATGTGTGTACATCTATGTAGCTATGCAATTCAAAGGCAGCAAAAATTGGCAATGTGTCAATTTCTGAAATTATGTCAGGGGGAACTGCCACTTCTGTTAATCAAAGTGTACATGGTTATCAGCCATTGCAGAAATCTCATTTTGGCCAAATATCGGCTGATTAGTTAGTATGACCTATGCATCAGCCTGTAACTAACTACTGGCAGCAGACCCTTTTGATGCAAGATAAAAATAAATATATTTATTTTCTACACTGTATTCTTTTCGCCATGGTTTGACTTTTCCAAATGTCGGTTTCAGATATCTGGGAATCACATGGAGACAGGATACATTGTAAGTTGTTTTTTTCCCGTGTGTTGTCTTTTTCTTGCTGCCCATAAATGTGACTGAAATGTTTTTAGAATTTCAAAATACATATATTTTGCATATGCACTACCACGTAAATTCATCCCCTTATAGTATTTATTACTCAAACTATAAGCCGGAAAG